TGCCTGTAATCCCAGCTACTTGGGAGGCTGAGGTAGGAGAATCGCTTGAACCCGGGAGGTAGAGTTTGCAGTAAGCCTAGAGAGAACCACTGCACTCCAGCCTGGGCAACAGAGCAAGACTCTGTGTCAATAAATAAATAAATGAATAAACAAATATAAATAGCAGGACAAAATAGTAAATACATAATGATTATAATTATAGCAAATAAACTAGACATGTAAATATGATTTAAGGAAAATAATAGTAAATGAATAGTTGTTATTGCTATGATTGTGGAATTTGAGTAATTGTTATTCTTTTTTTTGTTTTGTTTTTTGTTTTTGCTTTGAGACAGAGTTTCGCTCTTATTGCCCAGGCTGGAGTGCAATGGAGCAATCTCGGCTCACCACAACCTCTGCTTCCTGAGTTCAAGTGATTTTCCTGCCTCAGCCTCCCACGTAGCTGGGATTACAGGCATGTGCCACCACACCTGGTTAATTTTGTATTTTTAGTAGAGATGGGATTTCTCCATGTTGGTCAGGCTGGTCTCGAACTCTTGACCTCAGGTGACTCACCCACCTCGACTCCCCAAAGTGCTGGGATTACAAGCGTGAGCCACCGTGCCCAGTCTGTTATTCTTTTATATCCTGCCCTTACTATAGTGTGACTGTATAACTGAGGCAGGAACTGCTTGCTATCTACCCAACATGTACTCTCTCCTTCCTTCCTATAAAGATAGCATTGATTGTCTTTGGGAAAGTAAAACCATTCCAAGATTTTCTTGTATGTGATTCATTTCTAGGTAATGAGTTACAAAAGAAAGTCATGGATATGCTTCTGCTTCTAGAATTTTCATTTATTTATTTTATGTATTTATTTATTTATTTTGATAGAGAATCTTGCTGTGTCGCGGAAGCTGGAGTGGAATGCAGTGGTGCGATCTCAGCTCACTGCAACCTCCGCCTCCTGGGTTCAAGCAGTTCTCATGTCTCAGCCTCCCGAGTAGCTGGAATTACAGGCGCCCACCACCACACCTGGCTAATTTTTCTATTTTTCATAGAGCCGGAGTTTTGCCATGTTGGGCAGGCTGGTGTCAAACTCCCAACCTAAAGTTGATCTGTCCACCTCGGCCTCCCGAAGTGCTGCTGGGATTATAGGCATGAGCCACTGTGCCCAGCCTAGAATTTTTAAAAATTTTTATTATTGTATTTTTTTTAAGAGGGAAGTTCAGCTGATATGTCCCTTTGGACTGCCATACTTTTTTCTTCATTCGGAATGTGGCTGCAAAGCCTACAGATGCAACCGCCTTTCTGTGACCACGAAGCACCAAGCCTCAGGCTGTTGGACTTCACTTCCAAATGAAGGAGAGGAAAGATGGGAAGATCCCCGGGCTTTGCAGCTCTGGATTTATTTTTGTGTGAGATGAGTAACCTCTGTTTGCTTAAGTTATGGCTCATTGGGTTTTCTGTTATTCACAGCCAAATACAACTCTAACTGATAACATTATTTCTATAATCAAAATAAAATTAAAGAAAAAAACTTGTCTGATTCCATTCTGTGACTAAACAAGGTTTCTTCCTTTGTTTTTTTTTTCTTGTTTTTTTTTTTTGAGATGGAGTTTTGCTCTCGTTGCCCAGGCTGGAGTGCGATGACGCGATCTCGGCTCACTGCAACCTCCGCCTCCCAGATTTAAGCACTCCTCCCAGCTAATTTTGTGTTTTTAGTACATACGGGGTTTCTCCATGTTGGTCAGGCTGGTCTCAAACTCCTGACCTCAGGTGATCCACCCACCTCAGCCTCCCAAAGTGCTGGGATTACAGGGCTGAGCCACTGCGTCCAGCCTGGTTTCTGTTCTTCTAAGCTCTGCTCACACTCTCCTTTCACCAATCCTTTCTAATCCTTACCCTCATTTCTTTCTTTGTCTAGCAAACTACTACTCAACCTTCAAAAGTCCGCTTAAGACCGGAAACAGAGGCTCACGCCTGTATCCCAGCACTTTGGGAGGCCGAGGTGGGCAGATCATCTGAGGTCAGGAGTTCGAGACCAACCTGGGCAACAGGGTGAAACCTCATCGCTACAAAAATACAAAAATTAGCCAGGAGAGGTGGCACGTGCCTGTAGTCCCAGCTACTAAGGAGGCTGAGGCAGGAGAATCGCTTGAACCTGAGAGGTGGAGGTTGCAGTGAGCCGAGATTGCACCATTGTACTCTAGCCTGGGTGACAGAGCAAGATTCCCTCTTAAAAGCAAACAACAACAACAACAAAAAAAAACTTCAACTCAAATGTTGATGTTACACTCTGCAAAGTCTTTCCGAAACTTTCCCTCAAACAGATTCATCATGATTGTACCCCTGGTGTTTTGTCCGTGATTCTGTGATAGCACGTTTTACACCTGACTATGTTTGCCTATTTCCTTGGTATTCTTCCACTGAACTGTGAGCAACATGTGAGCAACTGGAGGGTAGAAGCCACGTTTCACACTTGCTCCCTTCAAGGCAGCTGGCATACCACTAAGTGTAAGTCGGTGCACAATAAATGTTTTCTGGAATGAGTAAACACAATAATTAAAAAACAATGCCAGCTGGAAGCGTTGACTCACACCTGTAATCCCAGCACTTTGGGAGGCTGAGGCAGGTGGATCACGAGGTCAGGAGTTCGAGACCAGCCTGGCCAATATGGTGAAACCCCATGTTTACTAAAAATACAAAACATTAGCCGGGTGTGGTGGTGCACACCTGTAGTCCCAGCTACTCAGGAGGCTGAAGCAGGAGAATCGCTTGAATCTGGGAGGCAGAGGTTGCAGTGAGCCGAGATCATGCCACTACACTCCAGCCTGGGCAACAGAGCGAGACTCTGTCTCAACAACAACAACAAAAAACGATGTCTATATGTTTAAACCAAACATTGTCCTCCCCTTCCTAGGTTGACTCCTGTTTTCTCTCCACCTCTGTTTGTTTGTTTGTTTTTAACTGGAAAAAGAATAGTTGACGAGTTGGAAGTTAGGGAATGTCTCACAGTGTCACCTAGGCTGGAGTGTAGTGGTGCAATCACAGCTCACTGCAGCCTCAATCTCCTAGGTTCAAGTGATCCTCCCACCTCAGCCTCCCAAGTAGCTGGTACCACAGTTGTCTGCCACCATGCCCAGCTAATTTTTAACTTTTTTGTAGAGACAAGTTCTCCGCATGTTACCCAGGCTGCTCTGGAACTCCTGGCTCAGGCTGTCTTCCACCTCAGTCTCCCAAAATATTGAGACTATAGGGCCGGGCGTGGTGTCATACCTGTAATCCCAGCACTTTGGGAGGCCAAGGTGGGCAGATCGCTTGAGGCCAGAAGTTCCATACCAGCCTGGCCAACATGGCAAAACCCCATCTCTACAAAAACTACCAAAAAAATTAGCCGGGTGTAGTGGCACACATCTGTAGTCCCAGCTACTAGGGAGGCTGAAGCAAGAGAATTGCTTAAACCTGGGAGGCAGAGTTTGCAGTGAGCCAAGATCATGCCACTGCACTCCAGCCTGGGTGACAGTGAGACTCCCTCTCAAAAAAAAAAAAAAAAAAAAAAAGAAAAGGGATTATAGATGTGAGCCACTGCGCCCAGCCTTGGATCATTTTAATCTAGGTGGGAATGGGGGGTGGATTTGAAGTCACATTTTATTGAAAGTAGGAAAGAAGTTGAGACATACAGGAAGTAAATTAGGGCAGAAAGTTCAGAATTAAGAACAAGAATCTCTCAGTCTCTCCTATGCTAAATCATAATTTGTCATGGCCTAAAGCAGGGTGACTTTAGCAGACATAGCCCAACTCTGAGTCCCAGTGCTGAGGGCTGAGTCCCAGTTCCACTTACACCTTGTTGGATGTTGAGGAGGCAGGTCACTTATACCCGCCTTTTAAGCCACAGTTTCTTTCTCTGAGAAAGAATAGTAATACTCACCTCCCCAACTCACAGAATTATTATGAGGATCAAAGTGATCAGACTTGTGCATAAGAATTGCTGTGACACCCAATAAAATGTGAATCATGTCGCTTTTATTACATGTAGGAAAAACGTGATCCATGTTTGGTGAAAAGTTCAGTGAATGAATGGATGAGCCCAGCTTGCTAATCACCTTATTTTGATACAAGACAGGAAGAACTTCATCTATCATATTTTAATCAAGGGGTAAATACAGGAATGACTTCATCTTTTGGGTTTATATAAAACATAACCAACATATACAACCTCACCATTATGAAGCAAGCTCTTTTCCCGTTAAACAACTGATGCTTAGACTTTCTTCACATGGGACAAAAGCTTTTATTCCACTATTTGAGATATGATTTCAAATGCACTATGCCTGAATAAGGTACCATTGAGACTTAAATCACACTAACATATATATGACTATTTCATTTTTTTAAAGCATGGTTTAAGGGGAACTAAGAGGAAAATGTGTTTGGTTTGTTTTGCCTTTTTGTTTTAAATTTTACCAGTAAAGTGTATTTTGTTATCTGTACTGCCAAAGAGGTGAATAATTGTATAAACTAGAGGCCAGTCACCCACCGCTATGGTGGGCTATAAAAGGTCTCTTTCCCTATTTCTTCCATCTTCCTACCCTTGAAATTTTGGATCTCCTGCTTAATTTGACAGGGCAGATAGCTTCGACATTGATTTGAGATTAAAAATAAAACGTACAGACAACATAACCCCTAAATTATAGACGAACAAAAATCTTGGAAGAACACTGGAATAGATCACAGGGAATTGTATTAATTTCTACCGAGATAGCAAAGCCAATATCTGTGACTAATCCGCTCTTGCTATGATCAAAATAGTCATCACAAGCACCATAATGAAAAAAATCCACATGAAGAATCGGTCTATGACTTTCGCCACTTTCTTCCATTCACTCCCTTTGGAATTGGTGGCCTTGTGGTCTTTGAGGCACTTGGCGATGTACTCAATATTCCTCGTCAGCACTTTGTACTGTGCACAGTAACTCTCGGCCTCCTGAGGGTTCTCACCCTGGCAGCCCAGGTCGTTCTTTAAGCGTTTGTTCATGTCTTTCTTTCTGGAAAGGTCTTTGTTCCTGGCTGTTTTCAGGTTAGACTCTGGGAGTTGGCTGTAAACTTTCGTGAGGTGGTCCCGCTCTCTACTGTAGTGCGGGCTGAGGCAGCTTTCACCCACATCATAGACAAACAAGACCCTGGACATGTATTTCAGGATGACCACCCTGGCCCAGTGTGGCACCGGCCGGGCCTCGGCCCCACAGAAGTGGATATTCATCACCATGATGGTCAAGGCAGTGGAGGCTGTGATTAGGGCCATCGTGGCAATGTAGTATTTACCTGGAATTAAAATAACAACAGTAACTGAATTTGCTTTAAAATGGTCCTCATACAGCCATGAGTCACTTAACAACAGGGATATATTCTGAGAAAGGTATTAGTCATTAGGTGATTTTGCTGTTGTGTGAACATCATAGAGTGTATGTCCACAGACCTAGATGGTATAACCTTCTACACACCTAGGTTGCACGGTATAGCCTGTTGATTTGAGGCTACAAATCTGTGCAGCATGTTACTGTATTGAATACCTCAGGCAATTGTACACATGATTATCAAACGGTTAAGTATTTGTGTGTCTAAACATGTCTAAACATAGAAAAGATAAAATGAAAATTGACATTATAATCTTATGGGACCGTTGTATACACGGTCTGTCATTTACCAAAACATTGTTATGAGGCACATGACTGTATTTGGCTTAAAAAGAAACAAACACCCTTTCTAAGGAAGTGTTTTATCCTAGTGGTTACTAGTATAGAATTTTTTTTTTTTTTTTTTTTTTTTTTTTTTGAGACAAAGTCTCGCTCTGTCGCCCACGCTGGAGTGCAGTGGTGTAATCTCGGCTCACTGCAACCTTTGGCTCCCAGGTTCAAGCGACTCTCCTGCCTCAGCCTCCCAAGTAGCTGGGATTACAGGCGCCTGCCACCATGCCCAGCTAATTTTTGTATTTTTAGTTGGGGGGGGGAGTTTCGCCATCTTGGCCAGGCTGGTCTCGAACTCCTGACCTTGAGTGATCTGCCTACCCTGGCCTCCCAAAATGCTAGGATTACAGGTGTGAGCCACCGCACCCAGCTGTAGTATAGACTTTTGAATCTGACTTCCTGGATTCAAATCCCAGCTGTATCACTCCCTGCACTTGTGGCCTTCAGCAAGGCATATAATCCTGCTAAGCCTCAGTTTCCTGGTCGTAAAGTGGGCATAGTAATAATATCTACCTCGCAGGAATATGAGGAGGCTTAATTGAGATGACACATGTGAAGTTCTCAGCACTGTTCCTGGCTCGAAATTAAAAAGTTTGGAAATATTTCCTGAGATCATGAGGTGAAAAACTTTTCCACACTCAACAAACAAACAATTAATGAACTTGACCAGTTCTCAGAACTGTCTTCAGACCTCATTAATATGAAAGCCAATTGCTATTGGATAAGAAAGGAGACTGTGTCACTATTAGTCCTCAAACTGTGATTATATAAAGCACATGTTGATGAAAAAGTGAAATTAAGGAAGGAAACAATTAAGATAAGGCTACAAACTTATGAAATATAGAATAAAAATCCAAGAAGATGAACAAAACCAAAAGCAAAGTTTTGAAAAAGTAATAAAATTGATAAACCTTTGATAAGACCACTTACAGGATAGAGAGAGACATACAGGAAGGGAAAGAGAGAGAGAAGATGGAAAAGACTTATAAAATAGTACAATATTATAAATAACTGTGTAGTCGGGTGCGGTGGCTCACACCTGTAATTCCACCACTTTGGGAATCCCAGCACTTTGGGAGGCTGAGGCTGGTGGATCACTTGAGGTCAGGAGTTGGAGACCAGCCTGGCCAACATGGTGAAACCCCATCTCTACTAAAAATATAAAAAACATTAGCCGGCTGTGGTGGCAAGTGCCTGTGATCCCAGCTACTCAGGAGGCTGAGGCAGGAGAATCACTTGAATCCAGGAGGCAAAGCTTGCAGTGAGCCGAGATTACGCCATTGCACTCCAGTCTGGGCAACAGAGCTAGACTATATCTCAAAAAACAAAAATAAAAATAGCTGTATAATAACATATTTGATAATCTAGGTGAAACTGCTGGAAAAATGTCAGGTGTCAAAATTAGTGCAAGAATAAAGAACACTTTAATAGAAATAGGAATCAATCAAACACCATCCCCCCACCAAAGGCTCTAGGCCCAAAAAGAATTTATAGGTGAGTTTTACCAAACTTTCAAGGAACAAATAATTCCCATCTTATGCAACTTGTTCCAGAAATAGAAAAAGAGGGAAAACTGCCCAGTTCATTTTGTGAAGTCCATTTGACCTGATTCCAAAAGTGACAAGAAAAGAAATATTAAAGCCATTTCACTAATCGACATATTTGAGAAACTTCTACAAAATATTAGCTAACTGAATCCAACAGTGTCTTAAAAGGATAATGTATCATAAGAAAGGAGTTTGGTCCACTTATACAAAAGAGTTCAACATCAGAAGACTTATTGATGTAATTCACGACATTGATGAGTAAAAGAGAAAACACACATTATTATCTTAATAGATGAAGACAAAGTATTTGATAATGTTTGTCATCTACTTATTATTTGTCAAAATCTCTGAGTTAATATATGAGACATTTCTTAAAATGGTAAAGGTCATGGGCCAGAAACCTATATCAAGGGCTACATTTGATGCAGAAAACTTAAGCATATTTCTGTAATATTGTGAACACATTCCATGGGTGCTATGAATAACAAATTATAATTGTTAAATAAATGTTCTCAAGATCTGTGTGCACTTTTCCTAAAAAGATAAATTTCAGCCAGTTGCGGTGACTCACACCTGTTACTTTGGGAGGTCAAGGTGGGAGGATCACTTGAGCCCAGGAGTTCAAGACCAGCCTAGCCAACATAGTGAGACCCTATCCTTTTAATTTTTAAATTTTTTTTCTACATATATATATTATTTTGAGACAAAGTCTCACTCTATTGCCCAGGTTGGAGTGCAATGGTGCAATCTTGGCTCACTGCAACCTTCACCTCCCGGATTCAAGTGATTCTCCTGTCTCAGCCTCCCAAGTAACTGGGATTACAGGCATGCACCACCATGCCCAGCTAATTCTTTTTATAGAGACAGGGTCTCACCATGTTGGCCAGGCTGGTCTTGAACTCCTGACCTCAGGTGATCTGCCTGCCTCGGCCTCCCAAAGTGCTAGGATTATAGGCATGAGCTACCATGCCCAGCCTTCATTTTTAAATAATAAAAATAAATTAAAATAAAATTTAAAAATATAAATTTAAAAACATAAATTTAATTTTAAAAATACAAATTTCTTTTCATAAAAACAGAACAAGCAATTCCTGTGAGACATCTGTCTTTAGAAATTGTGCCAGCTTGCTAGATAATGTCACTGCCCAAGAAGAGAGTGGGACTGTCCCATGATCTTTCCTCGAACAGGGCTATGATCATCACTGCCAATCATTTCTGCCTCAGGAGAGGTAATAAAATGCCAATACATCTCCTTTCTATTAGAGGATGAAAAGCCTTCTGTGTTTAATTCTGAAAAAGAGGGCTCTGTGTGTGTGTGTGTGTGTGTGTGTGTGTGTGTGTGTATTTTGCAAGGACAGACATAAAAAGGAAGCTATCTCCAAATGGAGAAGCCACTGTAGTATCATCTCAATATTGGGTAACTGGACTCAGTAAAGAGTAAAAGGGCAAGGCAACATCTCTTGATATTGGACTCTAAGTTCCTTGGTGTTCTAGAATTTCTCCTTATTGCTTACTTTAAGGAACTCAAACTTAGATCTAGCTTGATTCTGGTAAGCATCTGTTACAACAGCAAGTCCTTGAGATGGAGATGTTGGATCTCAAGGGTATTGGAGGCAGAAAGTAGATGTTAAAGAGGATAGGAAAGCCCTCAGAACAAGCTAGGCAAGGATAAGGGAGGCAGGGGTGGTACCCTCAGTCTGCACTCCAGTCCTTGGAGGGACATTTCATTATTGTAGATTTTTGAAAATTCAGTCTGCTTTGGAATCACCTCAGATTCCCAAATCTTGGCCAAGTTGCTAAATCAAACTCTCCGGGTGTAGGAACTTGCATTTTAATAAGCTCTTCCACTGCTATTATACCCAATGCAGATGAAATTTTTCTGTTAAGGGTAGATGTCAGGCTTAAAAAGCACATCTTTCTTCCATGTTTGCCACTCTTCCCAAGAAGAAAGCCCTTGTCACATGAAATGATAACAATAGTCACTGTTTACTCAGTACTTACCATATGCCAGGGCATGCACTAAGCAGTGACACACAAATTTTACAGATGATGAAGCAGAGACTAAGAGAACAAGTAACTTGCCTAAGTTTGATCAAGGAGTGAACACTGAAGTCAGCATTCAAATGCAGTTTCTTTGACTTCAAAATCAGGTTTTAACCTCTGAGTCATTGGATTTCAGACTTAAACGGAAAATGCATCAGAATCACTCAGAAGGCTTGTTAAAACAGGACGCCAGGGCCTTATCTCCAGAATGTCTGATTCAGTAGGCTTAGGGTGGGCCCTGAGGTTTTGCGTTTCTATAAGTTCCTAGGTGATGCCGATGCTGTACATCTGGGGACCACCACTTTGAGAGCCACTGCTCTAAAGTGTAATGCTTTTCATTGCTCTTTTGTGTAAACCCAGAAACCATAAGACCAGTTTTGATTCCAAAAGCCTTATCTATATTGAAAGATGCTAACTGCAACCACCAGAAAAATTTGAGACAGTCTGTATTGAGTCTGAAATTGGCTCCATTGTTTCAAGTTTAAAGGCACACACACAACCTTAAAGGCATGACCCCAGGCACTACAAAGCTGGGCTTGAAGTGGGAGACACTTAAACTCACCTATCAGGGGGACATTTTCTGAGGCCGGCATGATTTCTGCTACCATTAGTTGAAATACAGTCATGGCCAACAGGATGGTCACTCCCAGGGAGACCTTTTCTCCAGATGCTGCTGGGAGATAAAAACTCAGAGGAGCCAGAAAAGATATGAGGACACATGGGACGAGGAGGTTGACAATATAGAATGAGGACCTCCTCTTCAGAAGGAGGGTGAATGTGACATCCGGGTAAGGCTCAGAGCAGCAGCCATAGGAGATCACATTCTTGACAGCAGGCATGCCATGGACCTCCCATTCCACATCTTCAATGAAGTCAGAGAGATCTCCGCTGTCCAGGGCGTTGAATATGTCTACCTGATTGCCATTGTAGGTCCAGGAACCAAAAGTCAGGTTGCACTGCTGGTTGTCAAAAGGGAAGTAGGTGACATCCACCACACAGGAGCTTTTGGTGATGGCCGGTGCATCCCAGGTGATCAGCCCATCATACCGCAGGACCACATTGGTATTTACAGGCTCTGAAGATTCATCGTCAGCCCTGGAGGTCAGATAAGGAAAATGAAAGCCACATGCTAGGAGAACTTGCCACCTTCCTTACCCCAGGCAGCTCACTGTGCCCATCACTTCAGTGTTTTGGCCATGGAACACCATTTTCCCTGTGACTGTGGCTCGGGAGTCTGGAATCAACTCTAATTTGTCCTTCTCCTCTATCTTCTGTAACTGGTCAGGGCCAAGTTCTCTTGGAGTCTTCCTTCAAAGCATCTCTGCTCTCTATCCCTTCCTGTCCATTCCCAATGCCACTTTCTTGGTCCAGGTGTAATGATTTGAACACACAGACAAAAAGTAGGCCTGTCGATACCAAAATCTACTTACTTGATTTGTTAACTTTAGGCACAAGAATATTAAAATAAGCTTTTTATGGCTATTATAAAAGCTATACATGTTTATTTGTAACATTTGGAAAACTCAGAGGAAAAAAAGTCGTTCACCCATAACTTTAGAGATAGTCACTTATTCCAGATATATCTTCTTTTGCTTTATCAATATTTATGCCTTGTATTTTGGGGTACAGAATTTCTATTTTTCTCTAGGGAATTACTCTTTCTCCATTGCCATTGCAAGGCAGAGGAAATGTTGGTCAAGGTGCCCCAGTGTCCCTGGCCAAAGGACGGCTGGGTGGCCCAGGCTTGGTCCAACAGATTCACCCTTTCCAGAGTTTAGGTCTTAAGCAGAATGATCCAGAGACCAAAAACATCACCCTAGTGATGGCTCCCTATTCAGAAAAAAATAGACAGTGCCTCTTGTCTTGAACGCTAGGGCAGCCTTGGTTCTGTCTTTTCCAAGAGTTGGTTGTTTACTTTTTCCTTTATTTAAATGAGATGTGCCACATCCTTCTAACAAATTCCTATTTCACAAGGTTGCCAAAGTCAGTTTCTGATGCTTACAACCAAAGAGTCTTAATTGGTACATTTCTGTTAACATTTGGATGCATATTTTTGCAGTCTTCCTTACAATTTTTTCCCTGCAAAGTATATTTTGGCTAAATATAATGTGGTATTCTGGATTGGATCCTGGAACAGAAAAAGTACATTCACGGAAAAACTGGTAAAATCTGAATAAAGTAGTTTAGTCAATAACATTGTATTTATTTTGATAAGTATATTATGGTTATGTAAGAGGTAACATTAGGGGAAACTGCGTGAAGGGTATAAGGGAATTCTGCACTATCTTTGCAACTTTTCTATAAATCTAAAAATTATTCCCCAATGTAAAGTTAATTTGCAAAAAATAAAAAGGAAAAAAAAAGATGAAACAAAATTTTTAAAAATACATGGTCATCTGTTCATACTCTTCTACAACATTCTTTTCATGTCTAAATAGCATTCTATTATATTCCACTATATTAGATACACCATAGTTATTTAACCAGTCTAACTGAGGCTTGACATTATGGTTGCTTCCAGTTTTTGTATTTATAAGCAACGCTGCAGTGGACATCTCTGTAGCTGAGTCTTTACATTTATCCACTGACCCTTTCCTTAGGTTAAATTGCTGAAAAAGGATGTGCTGGGTCAGAACAGGCATGTTTTTGGAGGCGGTAAGGGATAAAAGACTACATATTGGCACAGTGTACACTGCTCCGTGACAAGCACACTAAAATCTCAGATTTCACACTATACAATTCATCCATGTAAGTAAAAAACACTTGTACCTCAAAAGCTATTAAAATAAAAAATATATTGGCTGGGCGTGGTGCTCATACCTGTAATCCCAGCACTTTGGGAGGCCGATCACTTGAGGCCAGGAGTTTGAGACCTGCCTGGCCAACATGGCAAAACCCTGTCTCTACTAAAAAAGTACAAAAATTAGCCAGGCATGGTGGCGCACGCCTGTAGTCCCAGCTACTCGGGAGGCTGAGGCAAGAGAATTGCTTGAACCCAGGAGGCGGAGGTTGTAGTGAGTCAAGATTGCACCACTGCACTCCAGCCTGGGTGACAGAATGAGACTTCGTCTCAATAACAAAAAAAAATAATAATAAAATAAAATAATGCATGTCTGTATATATTTTTTAAAGAACAGACATGTTTTTAAGGTTTTTATTTTTTCCACTCATTAGAAATTGGGTGCCACAATATTAACTCTAATCTACTGAGGAGGAGGAGGAGGTATGGACCGAGTTCACTCCATACTCAAGGGGATCTTTAATTGTGAGTGTTTGTGAAGATAACAAAATAAATTTTTTGAAAATGCCTGAAGTTTCCTCCTGTAACAGTGAGAAATGTGTACAGTTAGCTATCTGAGAAGTGAGAACTAGACCTGAACTAAGAACACTGCTCACCCATTCTACTTCCTTGGTGCAAGAGGAGAGATCTGGGGATCAGAGAGAATCTGTGTGGGGCTAAGACAATTGCACTGGGCAGGGTCCCTGTAGGGAAGTAGATGGCCTACTCCAATTAGATAAACTGAGGAGAGTTTAAGAAAGGGACTGTTCACAAAGGTATGGATACGATGCAGAGAAACCATTCCTGGACATGAAGAGGTGAGGAGAAAGTGCAGTTACCAGAACCTGGAAGGAAAGATTTGCGTGAAGAGGGTCACCATGATAGCAGTGATGACTTTCCTTCAGGGAACACATCCAGGCAAAGATAACCTCCCAGGAAGACGGCGAGGGAATATACACGCTAACCTCACTCTCTCTTCTCCCTGCAATTGCGCACTGGTGCTCCACATTGGCCAAACCCAACCCCAAGCCAAAGGGCAAGGGAACCTGCTGACCAAAAACATCACCCCAGCTACTTTGGAGTAGGTTGTGGGGTTTTTTGTTTGTTTTCGTTGTTGTTGTTGCTGTTGTTGTTTGTTTGTTTGTTTGAGACGGAGTCTCGCTCTTGTCACCCAGGCTGGAGTACAGTGGCACCGTCTCAGCTAATTGCAACCTCCGCCTCCCGGGTTCAAGCGATTCTTCTGCTTTAGCCTCCTGAGTAGCTGGGATTACAGGTGCCAGACACCACGCCTGGCTAATTTTTGTACTTTTAGTAGAGACGGAGTTTCGCCATGTTGGCCAGGCTGGTCTTGAACCCCTGACCTCAAGTGACCCACCCGCCTCAGCCTCCCAGGGTGCTGGGATTACAGGCGTGAGCCACCGCGCCTGGCCGTTTTTTTTTGTTGTTGTTCGTTTGTTTGTTTGTTTGTTTGTTTGTTTTTTGAGAAGGGGTCTCATCCTGTTGCCCAGGCTTTAGTGCAGTGGTACAATCTTGGTTCACTGCAACTTCCACCTCCCAGGTTCAAGTGATTCTCCTGCCCCAGCCTCCCGAGTAGCTAGGATTATAGGTGTGCACCACCACGTCCAACTAATTTTTGTATTTTTAGTAGAAGCAGTGTTTCACCATTTTTACCAGGCTGATCTCAAACCCCGACCTCAGATAATCTGCCTGCCGTGGCCTCCCAGAGTGCTGGTTTCGCAGGTGTGAGCCACCGTGCCTGGCCTTGAGTAGTTTAAATACATTGTATTAAAATATATGTATTTTTTGTAGAGACGATGTCTCACTATGTTGCCCAGGCTGATCTTGAGCTCCTGGCCTCATACGATCCTCCTACCTTGGCTTCCCAAAGTGCTCGATTACGGGTAGGAGCCACCGCGCCCAGCCAAGACATTATTATTTAATCACTTCATGACCAATATCTTATTGTTTATCTCCCTGGTTTTTTTGATCATATCACAGCTCAAAACTTGCAGTGACTTCCTATAGCCCACACAATACTTCTACACTTCCTCAGTTGAGTGTTGTAGATATTCCATGATCTATTCCCACCTCACTTTCTAGCTGTGTGCCTTCTGCTGGTCTCCTTCACTCCCACTCCACCAATCAAGACTGAAATCCCAACAAACCCTGTGAGTTTCTCTCACTTAAACTCTTTCTTCAACTCACAATAGTCCCCCTTTTCTGCATGTAGCAGTCTAACACATCCTTCAAGACTCTGCTCAGAGGCCACCTCTGTGAAGCCTTCCCTGCCTCTCCAATCAGATATCTTTCCATCCTTGAAGGGCCACAGCACTTTACTTCTGTGTTGTAAGAGACTTGCATTTTTACCTTGCATTATAGTTTTTACATACATAGCTTATTAGATTGTTCCTTGAGGTCAGAGATTGGGTCTTAAAATGCTCATTTACTTCTCATAAAAATATCATGGAGATTTGAGTTCAGAACCTGATTCAGGTTTCATAACCTTAGGTGGGTTATATCTCTGTCACTCACCTGTAAAAGTGGGCATTATAAAACCTTAAGGCTTCTTTTAAATTTTTATGTTAAACAAACTATGTACATTAATTTCTATTGCTGCTGTAGCAAACTACAACAAACCTAAACCTAATGTCTTTTTTTCTTTTTCTTTTTTTCTTGAGATGGCATCTCACTCTGTCGCCCAGGCTGGAGTGCAGTGGTGCCATCTTGGCCCACTGAAACCTCCGTCTCCTGGATTCAAGCAATTCTCCTGCTTCAGCCTCCAGAGTAGCTAGGATTACAGGCTCCCACCACCATGCCTGGCTAATTTTTTTGTATTTTTAGTAGAGACGGGATCTTGCCATGTTGGCCAGGCTGGTCTCAAACTCCTGACCTCAAGTGATCCACCCACCTCAGCCTCCCAAAGTGCTGGGATTACAGGCATGAGCCACCGTGCACAGTCCCTAATGTCTTAAAACAACACAAATTTAGCATCTTAACAATTCTAGAGGTCAGAAATCCTAAAACCAATGTGACCAGGGCTGCATTCCTTCTGGAGGCTCTAGGGGAAGATCTGGTGCCTTTCCTTTCCCACCTTCTAGAAGCCACCTACATCCCTTGACTCAGGGCCCCCTCCTTGCATCACTAACCTCTGCTTCCTTTGTGGCATTGCCTATTCTGACCATCTCATCTCCCTCTTAAAAGGACCCTTATGTTTACATTAGGCCCACCAGGATAATCTCCCCCATCTCAAATCTTTAATTCAATCATACCTGCAAAGTCTCTTTTGCCATGTAAGATAAATCTTACAGGTCTTGGG